GGGGGGAAGAAAGGAGGCAAAGGACCCGGATGCTGACCCAGCCTTTTGGACGGCGGGCTCGCGCGGGGATGCCAAAGAGAGGAGGGAGCCGAGTAGGCCGGAGGGACCTCAGGGCGGCGCTGTAGTAGCTTGGAACTCTCTGTTTACCCGCTGCAGAGTCGGCCTCGTTATTTAAAGCCCTGCTGTGTCTGTCGGTGTCCCTGGAGACCCGCAGTTCCCAGAGCTGGAGTGGGACTTCCCTGTGCACCTCACAAGCTGCTTGTCACATTTCTCTGCCTCTGTTTAGCAATTTTGAAATCAAACCTTTCCTCTAAAAAATTACCTTGCCTGGCATTTTCATTTCTTCTGTGCGAATTGTTCCCCGATTTTGTTCTTTTAGGCGTCAGAAGGCACTTTAATTCTATCACATAGTGCACCTGAGCCTGGTCAGGCAGACGTTAAAACAAAGCAAACACAGGAGTGAATGGACTGCAACCGTGGTAGTGTAAGACCTAAAGTCTCACTTCCACTCCACGGAGCGTGAACAGCCAAAAGGCCTCCACGATGCTGGGCCCTAACACCCAGCGAGGCTACGCGAACATGACAGAGAACCGAGAAACCCAGGAAGGAACACACCAGGCTAGATGGTAAAGAGACCTTTATTAGTCTGGCCAGACGGCACTTCCAGAGCCAGGTGGCTCAGAGAGGCAACTGCTCAGGGGCTGAGGTACTTTTCATAAGGTTTTACTAAACAAAGAGTCAGGGAATTCACAGAACAAGACTGCAAACACATTGCTTATCTTAGGCAGGAAATGTTCTAGGGTCACCTTTTGTCAAACGATTTGCCCCTGGGCGGGCTGTTAACCAAGGTAGCAATTAGCATATGAAGAAGCACAGTCTGGCCTATTAGCATGGAGTCACTTTAGCCTATTCAAGTCTTACAGTAGTGCTAGATCGATAGGGGAATGTAAAATAGAAATTGAACTTGTTTAGTGAGATAAGCTTCCTAAACGGGAATCGAGCCGAAGGGCTAGCGGGAGTTAATCAAGGAAAGGGCATTACAGAAAGAGTAGTAACATGTTGAAAATCTGTCAGGAGAGAGCTTTCCCAGTATGAAGAAATGAAGTTGGAGCTATAAGGTTCGCTGCAAAGCTTATGTGCTTCGTTAAAGAGTTTCGTTCTTGCAGCTTGAGCAATAGGATGGTTTGGAATGGTTCTCAACTGGAAGGAAAAGAAGACTAGTCGTGAATTGTGCAAAGATCATTAGCCTAAGGGTGTAAGAGTGGATGATAGGGATGCAAGCAGGGAACCCAAGAAGAAGACTGCCTCAATGATAATTCATCGTTGGAAAAATGAACTATTAATAATAATTGATCCACTCTTACAACACGTTTCCAGCAGTTTTTCAGTTGTGAAAGTGGAAGAATAATGGCACACTCTCACTGAGGCATTCTGTAATTATCCTAAAAATAAGTAGAGTTGACAGACATCATTGCCTCTTTATAAGTAAGTGTAATACATGAAAAGTGAAGCTTCCAATTTAGATAAATTGGGGGTAAAAAAGAAAGGTAGAAAGGTCAGTGTGTGGAACCTCTTAGACTGTTTGTTTTTGGTTCTGGGGATAGAACATGTCCCATGTTCTTTTGCTTGTGAGGCAGGTGGCAGCACCACTGAGCTAAATCCCTCGCCCTATTTGTTTGTTGGAGACAGTCTTGATGTGTATTTCAGACTCTCCTTGAATTCACTGTGTAGCCCAGGTTGGCCTCAAACTCAACAAGTGTCATGCCTCAGCCTCCTTGGGATTACAGATGTGTTCCACCACACCTAGCTTGTCTCTTAAAAAGGCACAAGACAAACTGATTTTCAGTATCTAAAAAAATTGAGGGTCCTATATTTTCCCACCACTGAAAATAATTGCGTGTAAACATTGTCTGGAAAAAGAATATTAATACTTGTTTTTAAGCGAGTATTTCTTAAACTTATGTGAATGAGAAAAAGAATGAATAATTTTTTTTTATTCAGAACTATAAAGTTGGGAAGTAACATTAGACAAAGCTCTAAGAATTTAAACAAATTTCTGTGCAAAAGTATGCCTGTTACAGATCCAGAGACAAGAAAGTCACTGAACTGAGCATTGTGGTATATGCCTGCAATCCCAGCACTCAGAAGGCTGAGACAGAAGCATCGTCAATATTGCAAGCCTGCTGCAGCTACTGGTAGCAATTCCCAGGCTAGCTTGGACTACATAGGGAGACCTCATCTCTAAAAGACAAAAACAGAATTATTGAAAGGTCTCAGTGAATCAAATGTATTTTATAGTCTCAAGAAAGGTATGATTATACTTTGAAGTTGAGAAGAGATAGCCACTGTTAGAAAATTATGTAAAATATATAGATATATGTGTGTGTACTTGTTTGTTCTTTTTTTTTTTTTTTTTTTTTTTTTTCCATTTTTTTTTGGTACCGGGGATCGAATTCAGGTCCTTGTGCTTGCAAGGCAGATGGCAGAACCACTGAGCTAAATCCCCAGCCCTTGTTTGTTCTGTTTTTAATGCTGTTCCAAAGTAATCTGACTTAGCTGTTGTCTTCATGTTTTGCATCTTTTCTTCCTTTAACCTCTACCATCAAAGCAACTAGATAAAAGATTAACTATAATAAAGTATTTGGGTTATTTCAGAAATTTTACAAGCAACCTAGTGTTGTAGTACACAGTTGTAATACTGACTCCTTGGAAGACTAAGGCAGAAGGATTACAAGTTCAAGGTCAGCCTGCACTACTTAGTGACTTGTGAGACCTCAAAAAAAGGCAGCAGAGGGCAGCTGAGAATGTAGTATTTTGAGTTGAGAAATCACAAACAAACCTCTAAGAACTTAAGCGAAGGTTAGCTCAGAGCAAAGACCCTAAATTTAATCCCCAATAATGAAGGAAAAAATCAGCTAAACACTGACCAATGCAATCACATGAATGAAGAATTTTCTTTTTAAAAAAAAAAACTTGAGATTTATTTGCCATGGTGGCACACACCGATAGTTTCAGCAGTTGGAAGGCTGAAGCCAGTGGATCACCAGTTCTAGACTAGCATGGGCTACATAGCAAGATCCTGTCTTAGTTTTTCTTTAAAAAAACTAGAGGTATAATTTATATACTACCCACTTAAAATGCATAGTTCTGAGCTGGGAATTTAGCTCAGTGGCAACGTGCCTGCCTTCCAAGAGCAGGGTCCTGAGTTCCATCCCCGGTACCAAAAAAATTTAAAAATAATAAAATGCATAGTTCTACCAGGCGCCGTGATGCCCCGCTCTTAGGGAGGTTGAGACAGAACAGTCATAAATTGAAGTCCAACTTAGGCAGTTTACCAAGATTCTCCCTCAAAAAAAACCATAAATAATCAGGCATCATGGCACATGTTTTATAATCCTAGCCCTCAGAGGCTGAAGCAAAAAAATTATTGCAGGTTCAAGGCCGGCCTGGGCTACATTCTGAACTGTACAAGACCCTGTCTCAAAAAGAAATAAATGAAACAGGGCTGGGGATGTAGCTCAGTGGCATGGCCCCTGTCTGTCAAGTGTAAATAAAACAAAGAATAGTTCAGGCCAGATGTGATGGTATATATCTGTATTTCCACCTACTTGAGAGGCTGAAGTCATGAGATCACTTGTGAAAACAAGATTGAAAGCAGCCTGGGCGACATAGTGAGACACCATCTCAAAGCAAAAGAAGGGCACAGTTAAGTGATTTTTAGTGTATTGACTATAATCTAATTACATAACATTTGGATTCCCAAAAAAGAAATCCTGTTACTCATTAGCAGTCTGTATTTTCCCATACTAGCAAGCTCTAATCAGCTTTCTGTGTGCATTGGTCTATTCAGAATTACTGAGTTCTTTTACTTAACATAATTCCTTCAAAGTGTTCTATGTGTTAAAAAAATGGGGGGGTACGGGGAATCGAATTTAGGGACTCATGCTTGCCAGGCAGGTGCTGCCCCACTGAGCTACATTCCCAGCCCATGTAAAAAATTTTTTAAACTGAAACTCTGCTTTTCAAAATACACATTGAGGGATAAGTATTTTGCAGTTTATCACTTTAAAACAGTAATTTGGTTCTTGAAATCACTTTTATGTTTCTTCTCTCTTTTTTTTTTTTTTGGTCCTGAGGATTGAACTTGGGTCCTTGTACTTGCAAGGTGGGTGTTGGAACCACGGAGCTAAATCCCCGGCCCTTATATTTCTTCTTTTTGACAGATCAGCTTTGAAATTTGAAAACAATGGAGAAGGCTCAAGAAAATGTCCAAAGAATTCTTCTAGAGCCCTACAGGTACTTACTTCAGTTACCAGGTAACTAAATATTCAGTTACAGGCCATCCATATAGAGTAGTTTTCAGACAGAAATGGTTATTCAAATATTAGCAAACAGAAAAGGATAGACTTACTAGGTTTTCTCTTTAAAGTGATCACTGAGAAAAATTTATTTGTTTTTCCCTCTTAAAAGCAACCTTTTGGGGCTGGGGATTTAGCTCAGTGGTGGGTGCCGCCACCTGCCTTGCAAGCACAAGGTCCTCAGTTCAATCCCCAGTACAAAAAAAAGGCACCCTTTTTAAAATACCAATCATATAGCATACCTTAAAAAATATAAATATTCTGTTGTCCCAGAACTCAGGAGGCTGAGGCAAGAGGACTAAGAGTTCAAGGGCAGGGGCCAGGGTTAGCTCAGTGGTTCTGCCGCCTCCCAAGCACAAGGACCTGAGTTCAGTCTCCGGTACCAAAAAAAAAAAAAAAAAGAGTTCAAGGCCAGCCTCAACTACATAGTGCAATCATGTCAGACACACACACACACACACACACACACACACACACACACACACACACAAAACACCTTTATCTAGAAAATGATAGCAAAGATTCGTGAAAGTAATAAAAGTGAGTTTTTCTAACAATTCATTTATGAACATTTTTACTTGAAAGGTGACATGATTTCTCATAAAATAATGTAAAGGTGGTAAATTCTTTGAAACTCTTAATCTAGCCCATAATCTAAACTATTATGAAGTACTCATCTGAGTCACCAGAGACACATTTTTATTTCTATTCTAATGTGCATACCTTTCTTTGTCACTGTACCTCAAGGATAATGTATGCATTTCTTTTCTTCATGAATTTGGGGAGATAAATATGGTTATCATAGTGGTACATGCATGTAGTCTCAAGTACTTGGGAAACTGAAGCGGGACAATGAAATAACAAAACTTTTTTTTTTTTTTTTTTTAAAGCCTAGAGCTAGGGATTTATCTCAGTGGCACCACCTGCCTTGTAAGCATAAGGTCCTGAGTTTGATCTCCATTACCAGAAGAAAAAAAAAAAAAGACATTAGCTTTTGGCAAAACAAAGCGTATTAAAAGGGACTGCTTTTTTCCTCCCCATTAAGTTTATTGGTACATTTTGGGTATATACCTTTACTGGATGTGTCTTGGTTCTTATTTTTTCCCCATTCCCCTGGCCTCCCTTCATCCCCTCCACCCTTCCTTATTTACGAAGACTTCGTTTTTGTTTCCATTTTTTCCTTTTCTCATATTTTTTTCTTTTCCTAAAAGGAATTGTTTTAGGGTATGGGAATTCTTTCTTGCCCGTGTGTGTGTGTGTGTGTGTGTGTGTGTGTGTGTGTGTGTGTGTGTGTATACGCGCGGGCATGCACATGTGCACACTCAAGTGCATGTATCAAACCCAGGAATTTATACATGTTAGGCAAGAGCTATGCCACTAAGCTGTTCTCCAGCTCATTTTTTGATAGAAAAGAAACACAACTGCCCAGTCTTTTAAACTTATTTAAATGAGTGGTAGAGCATTTGGGAGACTGAGGCAGAAGGATTGCTGCATATTCAAGTCTTGCATGGGATACATAGTTTAAGGCCAGCCTGAACTGCATAGCAAGACCCTGTCTCCATACAGAAAGGGAGGGAAGGAAAGAGTGGTAGATAATCTTAGGAGATGATTTTATGAAGTAATTCAGTACTAAAGTACTATACATTAAAAATACTTCACCGAAAAAATGTTTTTAAAATTAAAAAAAAAAAATCTCACTGAGCCCATTGTGGTGGCATGCGCCTATAATCCCAGCATTGGGAAGGCTGAGGCAGGAGGGTTGCTGTGTGTTCGAGACCAGCCTGGGCTACATAGTGAGTTGCAGGCTAGTCTCAACTACATAGTGAGACCCTGTCTCAAAACAAAACAAGAAAACTTGCCAAGGCCTGGGATTTAGCTCAGTGGTGCTGCCACCTGCCTTGCTAGTGCAGGTTCTGACTCCCATCCCTGGTATGAAAGAAGAAAAGAAAAACTCACTGGGGGAAAGAGGATATGCACCTGTAATCCCAGCTGCTCTTAATAGCTAAGAAAGGAGGACTAAAAATTTGAGGCCAATTTGGGCGATTTATCAAGTATTTCAGAATTTTAAAAAATAAAGGTCTAGGGAAGGTAGCTTGACAGACCATCCCTGGCATCAATCTCCCCTGCTGCAAACTCTGCAGAGAAAGAGTTCTATAAAATAGGAAGTTTTGCCAGGCATGGAGACACAAGCCTGTTAATCCTAGCACTCGGGAGGCTGAGAAAAGGATCACCATGAGTTCGAGACTAGTGTGTGCCACCACACGTGGTAAGACTTGTGCTAACTAAAGCCCACTGAAGTGCTTTAGAGTCTCTCTTGTCTGTCCAAATATTTTAAAAGATTGTGTGTTAGCTGGGCATGGTGGCATATTTATAATCCCAGCACTCAAAAGGCTGAGGCAGGAGGGTTGCTGCAAATTCGAGACCAGCCTGGGCTACATAGTGAATTCAAGGCCAGCCTAAACTACATAGTGAAACCCTTTCTCAAAAAACAAATTAACAAATAAATGGTTGTGTATTTTAGGATGTGGTAGAGCTGAGCTCCAGGGGTTTTTTGCTTTCTTTGTTTTGGCAATACTGATGATTGAGCCATAGGCTTTGTGTATGCTAGGCAGGCATTCTGAAAACTAATCTACATTTCTAGCCTTTTTATTTTGAGATTGGGTTTCCCTAAATTATTCAGGCTAGTCCCAATTTGAGATTCTCCTAGCCGGACCTGAAGACCTGAGATTACAGACATGTGCCGCCAAGTCTGGCTTCAGGATTTGTATTTCAGAGAGGTTGGAACTTGGATGTGGGGCAGTGGAAGGTAGTCTTTCCAGTGGATAATGGGTTGATGGGCTGGATTTATCAAATCTGATCTGTTTTGTAGAAAGTTTCTGAATTTGCATATATGCATGTTCATATATGCCCCAGAAATTGAACCTAGGGCCTTTGCACTGAGCACAGAATTTTTTTTTTGCTTTTTATTTTGAGTCAGGGTCTCACTGAGTTGAACTTGTCATCCTCCTGTCTCAGCCTTGCAAGGTGCTAAGATTACAAAATGCACTAAATGTATTTATTTAAATTAAAATAATTTTTTATTGACAGTTTTACTTTTTGATTGCAGGTAAGCAGGTGAGAACAAAACTTTCACAGGCATTTAATCACTGGCTGAAAGTTCCAGAAGACAAACTACAGGTATTTAGAAAATTTCTTTTCCCCATACTGGAATTGAACCCAGGGCTTTCACACTGAGGTATGTCCCCAGCTGATTTTTATTTTTTACTTTTAAAGTCTTGCTAAGTTGCTCAGTCTGGGCTTTCTTGTGCTCCTCTTACCTCAGCTTCCCAGAGTGCTCAGATTACAAACATGGGCCATTGTGCCCAACTGGCAGTTCTTATCTCATATGAATCCCAAAGAAATTAATACATATCATATAAACATACCCTTAGCTCTTGATCCATTGTAATGCTCATGCAATATATAACTTTATATTTAATTTGTAGATATTAGTTGTAAGAATTTAAGACACTTGAGACTTTCAGAATCACAATCATTAAGCATAAACTGTTTTGAATAGTTCAAGTAAAATACATTTTTTATTCTTTTTTTAGATTATCATTGAAGTGACAGAAATGTTGCATAATGCCAGTTTACTCATTGATGATATTGAGGACAATTCAAAACTCCGCCGTGGCTTTCCCGTAGCACACAGCATCTATGGGATTCCATCCGTCATCAATTCTGCCAATTATGTATATTTTCTTGGCTTAGAGAAAGTCTTAACCCTTGATCACCCAGATGCAGTGAAGCTTTTTACATGCCAGCTTTTGGAACTCCACCAGGGACAAGGCCTAGATATTTACTGGAGGGATAATTACATTTGTCCCACTGAAGAAGAGTATAAAGCCATGGTGCTGCAGAAGACAGGTGGACTGTTTGGATTGGCAGTAGGTCTCATGCAGTTGTTCTCTGATTACAAAGAAGATTTAAAACCACTGCTTAATACACTTGGGCTCTTTTTCCAAATTAGAGATGATTATGCCAATCTCCACTCCAAAGAATATAGTGAAAACAAAAGTTTTTGTGAAGATCTGACAGAAGGAAAGTTCTCATTCCCTACTATTCATGCTATTCGGTCAAGGCCTGAAAGCACCCAGGTGCAGAACATCTTGCACCAGAGAACAGAAAACATAGATATTAAAAAATACTGTGTCCAGTATCTTGAGGATGTAGGTTCTTTTGAATATACTAGGAATACTCTTAGACAGCTAGAATCTGAAGCGTATAAACAAATTGAGGCATGTGGTGGAAACCCTGAACTAGTAGCTTTAGTAAAGCACTTAGGAAAGATGTTCAAAGAAGAAAATTAATAATATTAAGCCATTCTTGATTGGTACATACAGCTTTTAGTTATTTTTTGTCTTTTAACCTATCAGCTTTTCACAAATTTGTACTAAACTTTTAATCTCCAAAAACAGAGAAAAGAGTGAGATGAGTGAAATTATTTCAGTGTAGAAAACTATCCATACATAATACTATAAAGTCAAAAGGAGCTACATTTATAAAGTCATATATTCATATATATATACAGCCTAGATAGCTTCTTTGAGCTCTGATGTGAATATCTGACCTGAAACCCAACAATTCCCTTGGATGTCTGATAGACACATCTAACCAAACCCACTCAAAAGTGAACTGTTGATTCTTCTTGACATCGAACCCAAAGCCTCTCTTCCTTAAGTTTTTCTGGTGCCAGGGATTGAACTCTGGCCCTTGCGCTTGCAAGGCAGGCGGCAGAACCACTGAGCCAAATCCCCGGCCCTATAAAATGTCAGATCTTCTTGCAGCAGGTCATTGTGAGCAACTGTGACCTACTACAATAAATGTTATGTTGATCTTGTCAATATAAAAGATTTTGGCTTCCGGGAATTTTTATCTAGATACATGGCCAGTGCCTAGTCATCTCTAGTTTCAAACTGGTGATTACCTAGGACTAGTTTCTTTAGCTAACTGGCCCAAACACTGCACAACTGCTTTCTTGAATGCTGCTAGTAAGAATATCTGTATCCTCTCTGGAATCCCTCTTACTGAAGTCTTCTGTGAGAAGGCTGAGTGAAAAATAGTAACCATTAAAGTGCTTTTCGATATCCTTTACCTTTTTTTCTTTTTCACCCACACAAATCTCTTTTTTCGGTACCAGGGATCAAACTTGGGACCTTGTGCTTGCAAGGCAGGTGGCAGAACCACTGAGCTAAGTCCCTGGCCTGCCCATACACGTGCTCTTTTAACTAAGGAGTCTCTACTTAATGAAATTCACTAACGGTGGAGGATTTTAGCTCAGTGATTTCACCGCCTGCCTCACAAGCACAAGGATCCAAGTTTGATCCCCAGTGCCAAAAAAACTCACTAGCCAAGTTCTTTTTTCCCCCTATGCAACATATTTTGTCCCAAAATGACTAGTATTCCATTTCAAAAGGAGAAAAAAATTGTACAGATCAAATGATTTAGAAGGTAACCTCTGAACCTCGACATATTTCCCCACCACTGGTAGTGAAGATCTGTAAAAGGCTGTTTGCTTATCACCAGTACAGAAATGGAGAAATGTCTTTTCCTTCCCACCCAATCACTGTCTTCCTAACTTAAAAGTAGTAGACTCTTGAATAGAAAGGGAGTAGGCATCTGTAGTCTAATTGATGGAAATCAAAGTGTTAACTCTGTGCCTGACTAAACTAGTCAAAGACTGTGTACACCATCAAACACTAATTAGCTTTTTTAGTGCCTTTGCCTTGACCCAGCTATCCCTTCAGTGTAATTTCCATACCGTAACCACTGAAGCTATCTGTGGCCCTCAAGGGAAGAAAAAAAAAAAATTATGACTCCCATTTTAGAAGTGTTGATATACCAAAATAAAACAATGCTTCCATTAGAAGTCTTCCATTTTGCTAGATTAGTTCTGTAATACACTATGTTAGACCTAATCACCATAGCTTATATTAGAAATTCTTACCCAAGCATTCAACTTAAATATTGAAAAGTTGGATCGTCTCCTGTTAAAATAATTCTAAATTTCTATTTTGACAGTGATAGATGAACCACTTAAAATCTGGGTATTTGTGCCGCAATATGAAGATTTGATCTTTTATGTTTACAAATTGATACTTTTGACAAATCATGATTATTTTTAAAATTCTAATGTGACTGTGGGCAGAAATTATTTATCTTTAATTATAAAGAATGCTTAAATAAAATGTTTTCCTTGCCTAATCATATTCGTTTTGGCCTGGTGCTAACTCATGATTCTTTCATCATTTTATCTTGCCTTTATCAGTGAGAGAAATGCTTGAAATTGAATTGGGGCCAGGCAAGGTCTTGTACACCTAAAATCCAAGCACATGGGATCCTCCTGAAGCAGCAGGATGACTGTGAGTTCAAGGCCAGCCTGAACTATATACAGCAAGTCCCTATCTCAAAAAAAATAAAAATTTTTAAAAAATTGAATTGGGCACTTTTTGGCTGTTTTTTCTTTGTGTTTTGAGACAAGGTCTATATAGTTCAAGGTTGCCTTGAACTCACTATATGGCCCAAAGTGGCCCCAAACTCAGGACATCTGCCTCAGCTTCCAAAAGTGCTAGGATACAGGCATGCATCACCAAACCCAGCTGATGTGGGAACTTTAAAAATCATTCCCTCTGTCTAATAAAGCTTCAAGCTGGGCATGGTGGTGCACACCTATAATCCGAGCACTCAGGATGCTGAGGCAGAGGATCGCTGCAAGTTCAAGACCAACCTGGGCCACACAGTGAGTTCCAGAGCAGTCTGAACTACATAGTGAGACCCTGTCTCAAAAAAACTCCACAGAATGCCAGAATATGAGAGCTTTAAAGCCAGTAAAATGAATTCATCTGCTTGTGTTAATGCTACAATAATTTTTTTTTGCATAAAGGAAAATCATGATAACCCAAGAATGAATTGGAATTTGCCATTTTAAAGACTTGAGTGCTGGCTGGCCTTGAACATGTGGTAATCCTCCTGCCTCACCCTTCCAAATGCTGGGTAAAAGACATAATTTAACATTTTAAAATGGGGCTGGGGATTTAGTTCTGGTTCCGCTTTCCTCACATGCACAAAGTCCCAAGTTCAATCCCAGTACCAAAAAGTAAAAAAAAAATGTTTTCTAAAAATAAAGATTTTCTAGGCTATGCAGAGACCAAATTGATTATTTGGCAGGGTGTGGATCGTGGTGTACACCTGTAATTGCAGCTGCTCAAGAGGATCACAAGCTCAAAGCCAACCTGGGCAAATTAATGAACACCTGTCTTAAAAAGGGCTGAGGGCCAGGGGTTTAGCTCAGTGATCCCACCTCCTGCCTTGTAAGTGCAAGGACTGGAGTTGAATTCCCAATACCCCCCCAAATTTTTTTTTTTCCGTTATCAAGCACTCTGTTTTAGAATGACCAACTTACTAGCTTTGAGTTATATCTATCTCCATAAATTATGTGCAGATCTCAGAGTTGCTATAATGAATAATGGAAGATATTTGTACCTCAATGAGTGAGGTCCAAATGAGTGATAGTACCAATAGCTAAATATGTAGTTTGTAAAAGCAAGTCCTGTTGAGTCATTTAATAGAATTTCAAAGGAGACTTCACATTTAAACAATAAAGCTTTAAGAGAGTCTGCTTTAATAATTCTAGCAGAGGGCTAGGGATTTAGCTCAGTGATTCCGCTGCCTGCCCCTCAAGCACAAGGTCCCAAGTTCAAGCCTTGGTACCCAAAAACAAATTAATTAATAATTCTAATAGACATCAATACATTATAAAAAAGAAGTGTTTTATGTTTTAAAGCTAACAAAGTCAATTAACCATAAAGAAATGTACATACAAAACAGTTAAGGCAACTGAAAAGTAGGTTATTGTAACAAATTTAAGTCATTTGAAGCAAAACAGCAATTCAAAGAGATGTCGATTTTCTAGTAAGTTTAATGAAAATACATTTGTGTTTTAATAACTAGTGAAGGTATAATTTTTTCTTTTCTTTCTTTTTTTTTTTTTTTTTTTTTTTTTTTTTTTTTTTGGTACCTGGATCAAACTCCAGACCCTAAGCTTGTTAGGCAGGTGATGAAACCACTGAGCTAAATCTCCAATGAAAGTATAATTTTTTAATTTTGTTCAATTTATAGACTTCTGGACCAGAGATTTAGCTCAGTGGTGCCACCACCTGCCTTGTAAGCATAAGGTCCAGAGTTCAATCCTTGGTACCAAAAAAAAAAAAAAAGTTTATAGACTCCTGATAATTGGCCAATTAGGTTTTGAAAAGCTATGGATTGAAGTTAAAAATAAAATTATACCATTCAGGGCTGGATATTTAGCTCAGTGGTTCTGCCACCTGCCTCCAAGTGCAAGGACCTGAGTTCAATCCCCAGTACCAAAAAAAAAAGAAAAATATCATTCAATAAATATATTAGCTGTAAAAATAAAGACTTGAAGTACTATAAAGATTAGGAAAAGGAAAAAAAAAGATTAGGAAAAGGGCTGGGGATTTAGATCAGTGGTTCCTCCACCCACCTCTAAAGTACAAAGACTAGTTCAATCCCTGGTACCAAAAAAAGAAAAAAAATCTGAATATAAATGCTGATAGTTTAGAGGAAGTCAAAAGATGATTCAGTACCGTGGAAAATGCTGTCAAGAGCCAGGCAAAAAAAAGCCAGGCATGGAGGTGCACACCTATAAATTCTGATACTTTCATGCAACTTTCAGGCCAATTTCTCAAAATCCTTGTCAAAAAAGGGCTGAAGAGGGCTAGGAATTTAGCTCAGTGGTTTCGCCACCTGCCTCACAAGCATAAGGACCCAAGATCCGTCTCTAGGACCAAAAAATAAAAGGACTAGAGATACAGTTGAGTGGTAGAACCCTCAACTAACATGTGAAAGACCATCTTTTAATACTGTGATACCAAAAAAAGTCACCAATAGCTGGGTTTGATGGTGCACACCTATAATCCCAGTACCTAGAACCTTGGGGTAGAAAGATCCCAACTCAGCCCAGCCTGAACAATTTAACAAAACCCTGTCTCAAGATGAAACTTTTTAAAAAGGGCTGAAGGTGCAGCTTAGTGCAGAAGCTCTTGGTTTGATCCCTAGTATCACAACAGTGAAATTACCAATGTTGAAATTCCTGGCTGAGTCCACAATTCAGTTAAGACTGTTCAGTGAGGAAGCTAGAAAAATGTCATGCAGTTTCCTATGTCACGTCATGACTCACGTGGGAATTTTATTTAGCTAGTGATTGCTGGACCAAATCAAATAATCACACCAATAATTTCCTGCTGGTTTGGAATAGCATCACCCCAAATATGGATAATGTCACGACATTTTCTCAATTTCCTTGGATCTTCCAAACCCAGTGTGAACACAACTGCCAGATTATTTATTGTCTTCCTTTTATGTTGTATACCCCTACTTAAAAATCCTTTATTTTTAGGACAAATATGTTAGTTTCCTAGTTAAAGCTTCATGTAATCTGCTTCCCTTTTTATCTCACATTTGTTAATAGCCTT